AAATGGAAATTATGACAAAATAATGACATATGTCTTAATGTCATTACGCACGTTCCATCCTTACACATTTAAGTATTGACATTTGATGCCAGAATGTAGGTTGTATCTCTAGCATCATGATGTCTCTTTACACATATCACTGCCTGAACCATGGACAGCTACAGTAGGTAATTAGGGTATAGAAAGAGGAATTCTTCCATAGATGTAGTGCAGAGTGATTTTTTTCCATGGATAGGGAGTCTCACTTGTCCAATCTCTGGAATTATCTCATTACAGAAGCCAAACATGTTCTGATGCCTTTGCTTCCTCTCCTCTGCTTTTCTGCACAGAATAGAAGAGCAATTCCATTATAATACCAGGACCCATCTGGTATTAACTGGCTGTTTTTTGGGCAGAGCGGGCTCTTGTAAACGTGAATTTCAAGTGTAAAACCACTGAAAATCCTAGGGCAGGAGTAGAACAGTGGCTATGGTTACCCAAGAGACTCTGAGGAGTTTCAAAGGTGTTGCTCTGTAGATAACCAGGTGCAGGTAGTTCTCAACTAATGACCCTAATTGAGCCTGGCAAATATGGTTGTAAGTCATGACAATCATAAAACAGGGTTATAGCATGACAAACTAAATTTTAGGATTTTTTTGCACTGGTTATTAAGTCAATGCCATAAACATTATTAAGTCAGTGGCCGTAAAGTGAACACCATGGTTATTGGATGAAATCATTGTTCGCTATGGACAGCTTTTGCCAAAAACCAGAAGTAAACCTCAGTTTCTAGAAAAAATATTGTAAAGCACAATTAAAGCCTGTCCCCGAATATTGATCTTAAAAAAGGCTGTCCTGCCCACATTCATATTTTCTGCAAAATATTGATCCCAATAAAGGAGCTACAGATATACCAAGGATATCTGAAAAATGTCACTACTCAAATCCAAATTTGAATCTGTTGGCCCATAGTTGGCTTAGTTACCAACTTGCAGTTAAGTTTTTTGCTAGGAGCTATCCGTGGTGCTGCAAACACCAGTCTGTCTTAATATTGTTTGTTGGTTGTTCAGACCAGAATTCTCCTTCTGTAAAAGGAAAAAGAGGTGGCTTATTTGCAGTTTAATTCCCTCCAGGACTATTACCACTATTACTTTTTATTAGTTTCAAAATTAAAAACTGAGGTCAAGGAATTTGAAAAGGGTTCTTGTCCTGTTTTGGCAAAAATCCAAGGAGCACTCCTTGTCACAACCATACTTGCACTGATTTTTTTTTAAACCTGCTTGATCTCTGTATTGTTTGCAATAGAGGGTTCTCACAAAAAAATAACAATACAACTGAACTAAAATAAATTAACCACCTGCACTCAATTCTGATATGGATCTCAAATTATTGGATGGAGCATGTTCACAGAACATGTTTAACTTTTGCAGATATTTACCTGCCTAAGTATTTGTTTTGCACTTGGCTCCAGTTTTAATTCTTCATGGTGCTGAAGAAACGTACTTGGACCTACTTAGATTGGAAAATCTGCTCTCAATAGCAACAAAAAGTTGACTCAAAGCCCATGTCCTTTGATTCCATGTGTGAGCAAAAGACTGGATTCACATAAGTTGCCTAATTAGGTTTCTTAAACTTGATACAGTACCTTAAACTTTAAAACCTGTCTAGTTTTGTATGGCTTAGCACATCCTGTTTGTTTTAGGACCTACTGTATTACATCAGCATTGAAAATGAGTGAATTCGTTAAGCAAGTTGAGATGTGCTACTCCAGAATTGTTGTACAACTGAATAACCTGATCATTTCTGGGATCCCTGCCATGCAGCACCCACAGTAACTTGTGTGAAGTGTACGGTTGCTTACTCTAATTCAGCTAGTGTGTCATACAAATTCAGAAAGAAGAGTTAATTACTATTAAATACTCCCTGAGAGTAACAACAGATCCAATATGCAAGTTGCAGAAACAGGGCCATCCACGTGTGAGGGATATGGCAGACTCTTCTCAGGAGGATGATAAGCAATTTATTAATGGAGAGGGGCAAAGATGTTCCTGAAATAACAGATCACTCCTATCTGTTGCCACTCCAGTTAAAAATGATATAATCTGGGTCCAAATAGGAATAGAACCTTTTTGTGGGAAGAGACATGGAGCTGAAAACTGAGTCACTCTACCTCAGGGATGTCAAACTCAATTTCACTGAGGGCTGCATCAGCATTGCGGTTGCCCTCGGGGTGGGGGGGTGGCCTACTGGTGGGCATGGATGGAGTGGGTGTGGCCAGGTCTACATCGTTTGCATCAAGGGTGCCTGTGGGAGCCTGAGCAGCAGTGGGACAGATCTGAGGGTCTCTGGCAGATGGGGGTGGACCAGGGCAAGTGCCAAGGCATGGTCCATTGGAGAAGCCTCACTGTTCCTCTCAGGCCATACGGGAGGGCTGGGTGGTGGCACGGGCTGCCTAGAGCCTTGGGCAGCAGAGGTCAAATGCCCAGCCTGGCCCTCAAGCACCCACGGCACCAACCCCAGCCCCACTTCCCCAAGGGGGCACCCAACGGCACTTACCTCCTCCTCAAGGCTGCTGCTGCTGTGTTTGCTCTCCTTACCCAGGTTGCTCATGATGGATACGAGGGCAAAGTCAGAGGGAGGCCCATTCCCTCTTCATGGGAGGAGAGCCAGCTTTGTATCCAAAGCTTCCTTAGCAATAGGATGGGAAACCCCCAGGATAGGCCAGGAGGGGAGGGCAAGGGGATGGTGAAAGGGCAGCAGGGCAGGACTAAGGCAGGACTTCCCTCCAGACCCTCCCTCTCCTTCTTTCCTTCTTTCCTTTCTTCCTTCCTAAGTACAGAGTGGTGGGAAAATATTTGAGATGAGGGAGGGAGAAAAACGCAGCTGGGGAGGGGGCAACCTTCGTGAGAATGAAGAAATGCACCATTGCCTGGAAGTGACCAGCACACACCTACTTCACATATCTGGCTTGATGGGGTCTGGGGTAGGGGATGCCATGAGCAGCATGAGAGTCAACATTACCTGCGCAATGCCGCCCAGCCCCTAGCCTGCCCAGTTTCGGCAGGCAGCAGGGTGCTCTCCTCACAGCGCCAAGAGGTTGAACCGGGTAGTGCGAAGCTCACCAGCTTTGCACCTTGCTGCCTGCTGAAACTGGGCACGCTGGGGGCTAGGCAGCATTGCACTTTTCATCAGATTCGCGCTACCTGAGTCAGCTCTTGGGGCTGTGAGGAGAGTGCCCCGCTGCGTGCTGAAACCAGGCAGGCTGGGAGCTGGGCGGCCTCACGTTTCTTTTTGGATTTGCACCACCCAGCTCAGCCTCTTGGCACTGTGAGGAGAGTGCCCTGCTGCCTGCCAAACCCCTCCCCCAGAGCCCATCAAACCAGATATGTGAAGTAAGCGAGGGCCATTTGCTGGCCACTTCCAGGCGATGGTGCATTTTTTCATTCCTCAGTAAGAGTGACACCTCCCCAGCATGCACCCAGGAGGTGCGGACGATGCGGCAGGGGCTGGTTCCTCGCTATTTCCAGACGGCCTTGTGGAGCTAAGACTGAATGCCTTTCAGCGTAGATGGCTACCACAAAACTGTACATTGGCTCCCGGCCGGCCTGGGCCAGGGCCATGGCAGTGGGGGCCGTTCCCTCACTGTTTCCAGGTTGGCTTCGCAGGCCACATGAAACCACTTCGCGGGCCGCATCCGGGCCCTGCGCCTTGTGTTTGACATGCCTACTCTATCTAAATTAGAGTCTCTTCCAACATCTTTGAAAATTGACCGTGATTCCTTGGATTGATGGGAGCTGTTGTTCTGAAGCATGATCAGTTTTATTTATCTATGTGGTTACCTGCTTTTTAAAAAAATGGTAGGCTGTTCTGGAAGGGGTTTTTTAAAATTTCCTACTTGATAATTAATGTGTTAATTTGAAAGACTGTGGTAGTCAGGGCTGAAATTTTGTCTGCAAAGGAGAAATATAGCTGCTGTTCTCTTCAAGAAATATGAGAAACATAACTTTGTTTGGAAAATTAAGGGTACAAATCTCTCCTTCATATTCAGTTTTCACATGTGAAAATAAATATAACAGAAGTGTCACACTCCTCTAATGGTTTCTTCCCAAAATAACTGAACTGAAATATCTCACTGCTCTGAGGTAGTGTATGTTCTGTACAAATGTTTCATTTTTGTTTTAGAATTGCTCTTGTACACAAGAGAATCAGTTTTGGGGTAGTAGGTTAAGGCATCAGGCTAGAAATTGGGAAACAGGAATTCAGGAATGCTTTAGGCACAAATAACTAGGTATTTCTCTCAGCTCTAGGAAGGAGGCAGTGACAAAATCACTTCTGAAAAAACTTGCCAAGGAAACTATAGGGATTTGTCCAGCAGCCCCTAAGAATCAGACATGATTGAATTGAAGGAAAAAATACATACAAATATTTAGCTTTCTCACAGAGCACTGTACTCCTGTAAGACATTACAGATATGAACATTAGAACACTTCATCTAGGCCAGTGGTTCTCAACCTTTTTAATGCCGCGACCCCCCCCCAACCGGTCATAAGTCGAGGACTACTCAACTGGTCGTAAGTCGAGGACTACTCAACTGGTGCAGCACCGTTTGCAGAATGGGACTTTTGGCGGGCTCAGCAGGGCAGAGACAGCCTGGACAATTCCTATTGGCTTTTGAAAGCCAATAAAATTAGACTCTATTCAAGAGAGTCTATTCTATTGGCTTTCAAAAGCCAACAGAATAAAAGGGAGTAGAATAGCTAAGGAAAAGGGGGAAAAAATGGCGGACTGCGTTGTTTGGCGACCCCCGTGAAATGGTCGTTCGACCCCAAATGGGGTCCCGACCCACAGGTTGAGAACCACTGATCTAGGCCATCTGGGATGCAGCATTTTCTAATGGACCAACTACTGGCTCTATCTAAAGCAAACCTATTAAATCAAAAATTATAAATCATGGAGGCTATTCATTTGGGGACAAGCAACATTATATAAAAAAGACATAAATCAAGTAAAATATGCTTTATTATTATTATTAAATTTATTTGCCACCTATCTTGCCCTGTGGCTACTTTAGGTATTATAATATAGGTTAGTTGATTAATTCATAATGAGTTGCAAGAGTGTTATTATAGCTGTTCTAATAAAAATAGGTCTATGTGGTTTCTACTTCTTAACCTGTTCTATGCTATGAGGCTGATATCAAGCTTGCAAGTGTCAATGTGCTTCCCCTTTTCCTCCTTTTATCTTCATGTGAATAGGGGATGGGGTTGTTTGAAGCATTTCCGTAAAGCACTTTCTTGGTCTGGACTCAAGCCACATTTAGCTGATTGCTGTCTTGGTACCAGATCTTCAAGGCCATCCTTTAAAATCACTACAAATACAAAACAAAAACAGCATTTACAGAGGCTTTGGAGAACTAAATGGTGAAAGCAGTGAATTTCATAACTGCAATGATAATGTATCTGTACCATCTTTCAATAAACCTCAATGCCTTGGGCAGTTTACCCATCTTTTGATTTTGCCATTAAAAGTACATAGCATGTATGCTTATCCAATTCATTGAAGGAAGCATTTGTTTTCACGTGGAAATCTCCAGAGATTAGCTCTGTAAGAGTTCCTTTATGAGATCACAGGAGGCTAACCAAACAATATGTGTGATCAGCAGGGTTGCTGCTTCAAAGTTGCAACAATATTGCTTTAAGAATGAGAACCTAGGCAGTAATTTGGACTCGAGGTAGTTTCCAAGTTTTTTTGTTCTAAAAAGGTATTGATTTCAACCACAGAATTATTGGGAATCTCTTTTTGCACAATTCCTTGTCTTTTTCCTTCTTGATTTACTCACTCCAAGAAAAAGAGAGTAAAGCAATCTGCCATTCTGGGAAGCACCACTGGCTCTATTTCCTGCCTCCAACACCAAAGGCATTAAATAAATCTTAGGGAGGATTATTTGCTTAATAACACTATTCCCAATATTCTTACAAGGTTGATAGAGATCAGTTTATTAGAGAACAGGCTACTCTGGACTTAAAGAGAGAGCAGGGTCCATCTCTTCGGTGTGGTCCTGGGGTGACACTGGCTGTCCTTTCACACGTTTCCATTTCATCCTGCGGTTCTGAAACCATACTTTGACCTGCACAAGAAACAGGACACAGTTCTGATTAATTTAAACTGAACATAACTGCATGTTAGATAACTGTGAGCTTCTTGGGAAGTTTTTCTGTTCTAAGTCAAACCTAAGGCTCTAGGTCAGGGGTAGGCAACCTTGGCTCTCTTATGACTCGTGGACATAGCTATGCTATGCTATGCTGGCTCAGGAATTCTGGGAGTTGAAGTCCACGAGTTGTAAAAGAGCCAAGGTTGACTACCCCTAGTCTAGTCATTAAGATATCAGGCTAGGAACCAGGAGACTGTGAGTTCTAGTTCTACCTTAACCATGAAAGCCAGCTGGGTGACCTTAGGCCAATCACACTCTCTCAGCCCAACTTACCTCAGAGGGTTGTTGTTGTGGGGAAAATAGGAGAGCAAGGTTTGTTGGATGTTCACTGCCTTGAGTTATTATAAATAATAATAAAAGTGTGATACAAACAAACAAACTCTGTACTATTAAAAAATTGGGATACTTATAAGTGAGCAGGTATTGAACATCCCCAAACTTCTTTCCCTTCTTTGGGCTAGTGTTTTTCAATCTCAGCTACTTTAAGGTTCATGAGCTGGAGGGGGGGGGAGAAGGAGAGTGCTTCAGGCAGAGGCAGACCAAGCAGAAAAGCTTCACCTGTCTTTCTGTCAAATCAAGGTTCACAGCAATCTCATATCTTCGGAGCCTCGTCAGATAATTGTGGTGAGTAAATTCCATCTCAAGCTCCCGCAGCTGGTCCTTAGTAAATGCAGTGCGCTCCTTACGTGCTCTGGAGCTGTTAGTTTCTTTCTTGGAATTGGTTGTAAGGTTGCCACGGACTCCACCCTGGCTCTCTGTAGAAGGGAGATATTTAGCTTTATGTCAAACCAAGCCAATCAGGAGAGCACACAAACAACCCCCCCCCATAAATTCTAGGGTCAGTCATTGGAGGCTCGGTCCATTGCATGAACCCAGAACATTCAATGATTCAACAAATGATGGTTTAGTTAAACTAGTAGCTAGCAAGATGTGTGAACATAGCTTGAAGCTAGGAATAAGAACAGAGAAAAAAATCAAAAGAATCCTAAGATATTGCTACAGAACAAAAATGAAAAAGCTACAAAATAAATTATGAATAAACTAGAATGTGGTTTGCTACAAGCAGAAAATAGGACCCAGGCAAATTACCACTGCAAAATTTCTATGGAACATCACTCTCCAAATGCTTCAAAGATACAGTTAGATGATATATGGTAGAGGAAATAAGAGGGAGCAGGCAGATTCTAGAAAATACCAATCTTTCACTTTGAAACAGAGAAAGAAATACCCTGATGGATACTTAAGTATCTTGTTCATCATTACTGTAAATGATGAAAAATAAGCTTCCTATTCATCATGCACTTATACCAGGTCAGGAGCCTGAAAAACAGAAAGCAGCTGGTAACAATGCAATGAAAATCTGGTAACAGATTAAAGGGAAATGTACTTGAATTTTAAAGCAAACACACACACACACACACACACACACACATTACATACATACACACAGAAAGACGGGAAAAAACATATGCTTCCTGTACATATTCACTGACTTCATCTAAGTCTGGAATGTTTTTCAAGACTAGGGAACTGGAGTTGGCCTTTTTAAGGCAAAAGACAGACTAAAAAAATATTTTATCTGTTTGGGATTAATCATTGCTTTTTATCTGATCTTAAAGAATCCAGGAAAAAGGTCCTTGAATTTTCTTGGATTTTGACTTCTTTCATCATTAGTCCAAACTTGCTATTGTTTATCTCTGGTCACCAGCTTCAACCAAATGCAGAATTTTGCCATTAGCTGGGATTTGGTTTAGAAAAAAGCAACTCACTAAATCTCAAATGATGTAGGTTTCATGCAGGAACTAGTGGCTTTATTTTTATTTATTAATCACCCTTATATGACCATTCATTTCACAGGAAATTATTCTGGGTGGCATACAGCAATCAATAAAACCAGAAAGGTATAAAAAGCAACCATTATAAAATATAAAAAGACATTATTCAAGATAAAACACTAAAAAAATTAAAATATACTAACTACATGGAGAGAGTAAAAGATCAACTACAACGCTGCCATCTAAAAAATGTCTCCAGTCCCCTGTGGCTCCCAGGCCTGGTGACACAACCAGGTCTTGAAGGGCTTCTAGAAGGAAAACAGGGATGGAGCTAACCTGACTTCAGGGAGGGAAAAATCTTCCATAGAGTGAGCACCACCATAGTTGAAAAGCCTGCCTCATGGGACCAAACCAACTAGGCCCCTGGCAAAGAGTGCCCACAACATACCTTCTCTGCCAGATTTAATGAGATGGGCCGATGCGATCAGCATTTAACTCCATAAAATGCATAGTCCAATGAACAAGAATACTCACTTGTGCTCTGAATACCATCACACCACGGAGTAGCCAGCACATCTAGAAGAGAGCAGAACCTAACCTTAGATTATGTGTTAGCCACGGTATACCTCCCCTTCAGCCAAATCCTTTCAAATCAGAGTTGCCAGACTGTGAGTAAAAATAATGTAGTTCCTTTTGATAGACTCATCCACTGTACCACTTCCTTATTCCACTGATATCTCAGTATCAACCTCCTACCTCACCTGACAGAGTGCAGTCTCATTCCCTGCATATAAATAAGGGAAGTAATTGAAAAATGGGACAGTCTTATTAATACTGTACCACACCTTTCTATTCAGGTGTCCTTGCTCTGGCAGTAAAAGACAAACTGGCATTCTCTCAAAGTCTTCTCCTTAGAGAGTGGCTATACAACGTCTCCAGGTTACAAACTGGTAATCTTGGAAACCAGTAAACAGCAATTTGTAATCCAGTAAACTGGAATTACCATATCCTGAAAATAGTCACATTTCAAAGTGGAATCAGCTATGCTCTTATTTTAAATAAATCCAACTTCCACTTTTCTCTTTTTTTCAGAGACAGAGCAGTGGTCACATTTTGATACTTAGAGTCCCACTTATCGTTTAAAGAAATTCCAGAGATGCTTTTATGGTCATCAGTCCAAAATGAAAGAGGAGCCTCATTTCTTTAGAACTAGTTTCCCCTGGGACCTTAACACACACATGGCAATCTCTGGCCTTCCAAATGTTGTTGGATTCCTTTTTCCATCTCTCTGTTTGTTGGCCATTGAAGACTTGGAAGATCACATATTATTCCTCCTATTCCAAAATAATTCCCAAGATTCTTTTCAGATCATGATGTCTCCATCTCTTTAAAGCCAGTTTGTATCAAAGCAACCTAAATCTAGCACATAGATCTCTTGAGAATTATCTGCTAGATTTATACAGCACACTAAATAGGATCGGGTGAGGTTGAGTTGTGAGGTTAAATTATTATTAACTTTATTTTATTTGTTTAAGCATATTATGCATGATACGTAAAATAGCAAGTATGTTTTGTTAATGTGCATAAAATTAGCCTATTATTGGACTCATAGAATACACTAACCTGGAAAACCTGATTATATTTTAAACACCACATTGAATAAAATCTCTATTAAGAACAGCCTAAAAGAATATGGTCACATCCTTTCAGGGGGCTCTACTCTATTTATAATAAAGTTAGCTAGGATGCAAGAGGGTCCAGTGATGTCTGGACCCTCTTGCATCCTAGCTAACTTTATTATAAATAGAAATTTATATGGAAATTTGCCCTCCTTCCTTAGATCTAGTCAGTTGCTCTCATTATTGACATTTAGATATTCACAAATTGATTTTTCCTTGGGTTGTTCGATTCAAGTATTGTCTTAAAATGTAGTTAGCCTGGATTTATCTTAGTATGCTACGTTTGCAAACTATTGTTTGCATTATGGTCTCTAGTGCAGCAAACCCATCAACCTATGGCTAAAGAAATCCTGGTTAAGCATGGGGCATGAACTCAATTATATTATCAGTGAATATCTCACAGTTTCAGTTTCTGTTTATCCATGCTCTTTCTTGAGACCTTATTTCTGATCTTATTTCTTCTGAAAGCCTTCAAAGTCATGAAAATCTGACTTCGCTTTAATGTTTGCTATTTTATTTGTAACTTGCAAACAGCCCATTTGGTTAAGCTTAAGAGGTAAGGGATTGGGCATATCCAGAAAATGAGTTAATACAGAAATTAAGGATTCAATATATAAATGCCCTGAGAGAAAATCAAGCCGGCCAACCCACATCCAGGCAACCTACCTGCTTTTTCCATTCTCCATTGGACTGCTTTATTCTCAGCATCGCTTGCCACATTCCCTGCAATGAGGTTATTTTTGCTGGTCTCCCCCAAGGTGGAGCTGTCCTCTTCTAGGCTCCGGGATCCCGAAGCCAACTCCGCCGGCAGCATGAGCTTCCTCTCAGAAGCCGCCACATGCCAAGCGGGCGGCTGGAAGGAAATGCCAGGTGCTTCGAAAGCGAGTTCAGCGCAAGGAAGGCTCTGTGGAGCCGTCGCCTGGCAGGGGCCCGAGAAATCCACGTAACCCCCCAAGCCTGGTTTCGGGGGGAGCAGAACAGGGGCTGGAGGATTGTTGGGCGGCCCGGCGGATCCTCGGTTCTCGACGAGGGGGCGGCTCAGGCATTCCCATAGTATGGAGGGAGCGTGAGGATTCCTCTCACAGCTCCTGGCGACAGGTGGATTCATGGAGCGGGCGCTTCCGAATGAAATCGTTGGAGAGCAAAGAAGTTTGGCAGAAAATAAGAACCGAAGAGAGAAGGCACAGTGTGGCTGCTGCCTTTAACAGGTCACGGGTCGAGTCGTTCGGGAAATCTGGCAAAATTCTTCCTCAATTTCCGCAGGACAATATCCTCCTTCTTCCCAGGTCGGGCGCTTCCTCGCTATGAAACAACTGAGCCCAGGAAACACTTTTAAAGTTTGGGATGTGAGTAACAAGTTTAGGAGGAGAAATTCGAGAGAGGGAGGGCTTAACTCGCATCCCAAGCCCCTCCAACCAAAGCCAAGTACGCAACGATTAATCACCCGAAACCTTAGAGGCGCATCAAATGGGAAACGCAGATGGAGACTTTTAAAGAAACACTGTACTTAAAAAAAAAACAAAAAACAAAGCCTGAGGTAGAGGGAATATAACGCGCACACAAAGAGGGTTTAATATTTCCTTCTCACATTGAGCTTATTTTTATTGCAGTTAGAAAAAAAACACACGTTTGAGATTTGAAAAGAAAGGAAAATTAAAGTAACATTCTGCATCAGAATCCAGAAGCCTGCCAAAAAAGCACCAAGGGAACAATATAAAATGAAGAGAGACTGCCGGTAAGATGAAAGAAAACGGGAATGAAGAAGAGTTGGAGGAAAAGACTTTACACTTAACGGCTAATTTAAAAGTTACAGAGGGAAAAGATACCTCCGAAAACTTTAAGAGAGGGGTGACCAGATCAAAGTGGAAAGAATCCTTTAGTTGTATCCTAAATTAATTTGATCTCTAAAGTGTACCACAGAACTTTTGGTTTAAGAAGTTGTGTCTCCTGAAAGATGGTTTTGTGATCTAGTAAGCATATAGATTCCCAGAATCTTTGAATGACATGTTAATACGATTTAAATATAATGACCAATTTGTTCACCCTTACACATTTGGATGCCCATGATCCCCCCCCCTTCTTACATTGTTTTTGAACTTTTGCACATCTGTGCTGAAGTACCTCATGAAAACTAGAAATAGGTGAACCTCTTCATTTGTTTGCCAGGCATAAAATTCTTTTTATCCCATTTTTGTATCACTTAACAAAACTGAACAAATACATTTTGTGTACATTTCTTTATAAACACATGTTTATATCCACTGCTGGTGTACAAATGTTTTGCAATTTTTACTATCATACACATGTGGATTCCATTACTGTGTACAATTATATAGACACCTTTGTTTATTCTGAGAAGTTTAATATTTTTAGGAGTGGGAATTGCATAGGAAAATTATGAATTTGGATTTCAAAATGTAAATATGTTTTTCTTTTTTTATATTAAAAGTATGGGATGTGCTATAGCATGTATTTAATGTAATAGCATCATAGACTGCTCAGAGTAGCTGTTATCATATATTCTTGGTTTACAAGCCTGTATGAAATGAAGAAGTTTGGATATTTAATTCCATGGGTCACAGATATGCACAAGTAAATCATAATCCATTCTTGTTTGAATAATGAAAAATAGTAATGCTCATTGGAACAAAGTCAAAGTATCTTATGCATTTGAACATTCTGAATCTTACACTTTTAAGTTAAACGTTTCCAGAGCATCATTATCTCTAAATATTGCTTTGATAGCAGCATTCAACTTTCATAATAACGACAATAAAGACCTCTGCTAAAGCTGGTGCAGAAATCAATTTTCTTACTTTATAAAATATTGTGGGACCAGTGGTTTCTATTGTCTTTTGAAAGCACATTAACAATAAAAGTCTTTCCCTAAGTTTATAGATCAGTTACATTGAAAAGATGCTGAAATCTAAAATATTAAGGAATAACTAATGCATTTTCAGAGCAAATACAATTTCAGGCATTCGGCTAGGAGTTTTTTGGGCTTAGGAGTTTTTGAAGGGATAGAGAGTCTCTACAGATGTAGAGCACTTTAGTTCATACTCCCCTCATTTACAAATACAGATAGTCTTCAACTTATGATCACAAATGAGCCCAAAATTTCTGTTGCTAAAGAGGAGACAATTGTTAAATGAGTTTTGCCCCATTTTACAACAGTTGTTATGTGAATCACTGCAGTTGTTAAGTGAATCTGGCTTCCCCATTGACTTTGCTTGTCAGAAGGTCGCAAAAGGTGATCACATGATCCTGGGACACTGCAGCCATCATAAATATGAACCAGTTTCCAGGCACCAAAATTTTGATCACAGTGACCATGGGGATGCTGCAGTGGTTTTAAGTGTGAAAAAGTCATAAACAGCATTTTTTTCAGTGCTGTTGTAACTTTGAATGGTCACTAAATGAATGGTTGAAAGTTAAGGACTCCCTGTATAGATCCCTCTGATCAAAGCAATCCTCTATTCAAGGAGTTTCTTTTACCTTACTTTGAAAGGTAAAAGCACTGTAACAAGAGAGTTTTAAGCTACTATAAACAAGACCTTTATGGGTAGTTTCAAATTCTGGTTTTTCCTTTTCTAATGGCTCTTTGTCTTATTTGTTGTTGTTGTTAATTGCGAAGTCGTGTCTGATCCATACATGTCTCCAAAGCTGTTTTTAATGAGACCACTTTTATAATAATTTTATTTTGAAAGATGAATTGTTAAAGCCAAAATGTAATAAATAGAAGAAACAAAAAAGCAAAAAAAAAAAAAAAAGAATTGCAAATAAAATAGAGTTGAGTACAATGAATCACAATAGGCAGATCTTCTTCAGGATTGTGAGCTATGAGCTATGAGTTTAGGTAAGAATATAGCCTGTTCACTTGACCATCCCATGCCTCATTCCATTATTAAGTTCATCAACTTCAAATAAATATTTTATTTTTAGGATTGTTTGAAGAAATTGAAGCTAAATCACTGAAGAGAAGATTTAAGACATCAAATTGGCTATTTTTAAAATATTGTAAAATATATAAAGGCAATTCCAATATTGTTTAGTGATACATTTTTATGCAGAACTGAATATTCTGGGGGATAGTAGATTAACTACAGGTCAGAAGTCCCCAACCTCTGGGCTTGAGCCATTTGGAACCGGGCTGCAGAAGCAGTGGGCAAGCACACGAGCATATCCCCACAAGCAGTGGCGAGTGTGTGTGCATGTGCTCCATTTGTGCAAGCGGCAGGCACTTGTGCTTGCCACTTGCACAAATGGAGCTGTGCACGCACATTTGCCCACAGCTTGTGTGGAACCATTCCCTCCCCCCCCAGCTGGGCCACAAAGCCAGAAGGGTTGGGGAACTCTGCTATAGATAGAGCAAAGGAGTCTTTCTATACAAATAACCCTCAACTGCAATCATTTGTTTAGCAAGTGTCTGAAGGTACAATAGCTCTGAAAAAAGTGACTTATGCCTTCTCCTTGCACTTAAACCACTGCAGCATCCCCATGGATCAAAATCTGGGTCCATGGCAACCAGCATGTATTCAATATGGTGGCAGTGTTCCAGGGTCCTGTGGTCACCATTTTGCTACCTTCATAGGCAGCTTCTGAAAAGCAAAGTCAATAGAGGAAGTTGGATTCACTTAACAACTTCATGATTCAATTAACAACTATGGCAAAAGGTTGTAAAATCAGGTGCAACTCACTTGATAACCGCCTTGCTTAGCAAAGAAAATTCCCAATTCTGGTCCCAATTCTGGGACAGAAATCATGCAAATGTTTTCACATGAGCTGGAATTCTTCATAACTCTCATTATGGCAAGCCACCATGTATAGCTAGTCCTTGACTAATAGCAGTTCATTTAGTGACTGTTCAAAGTTACAACATCACTGAAAAAAGTGACTTATGACCGTTTTTCACACTTACAACCATTGTAGCCATCTAAATAGTCACATGATCAAAATTTGGATGCTTGACAATTGGTTCATATTTATGACGGGTTGCAGTGTCCCCAGGTCATGTAATCACCTTTTGTGACCTTCTGACAAGCAAAATCAATGGGGAAGCCAGATTCGCTTAACAACCATGTTACTAATTTAACAACTGCAGTGATTCACTTAACTCTGGCAAGAAAGTTCATAAAATGGGGCAAAATTCACAACAACTATCTCAATTATGCAACAGAATTTTTTTGACTCGATTGTGGTCATAAGTTGAGGACTACTTGTACTTGTTGAGTTCTTTAATAACCTGGCCAGTGCCACTAGTGTATGAGACGTGTCATTATTAGTACATGTATAATACACATAATATAAAGAAATCATCTTTATAAACTGAAATTAGTACTGTACCTAAATGTAACTTTTTAAAATTCCTGCATTTCTTTAAGAGAATTGTTTTTCTTTTTTGAGAAGTCTCACTGCTTTAAGAAATTGCAGATGATGCTACAGTCACATCTTGGTACACTCTGGAGCACCTAGTGGTAGTCAAAATCAAAATGTTGCACGGCCTAATATTAATAATTTCTTTATACTATAGTGCAGGGGTGTCAAACTGCCGGCCGGCAGGTCAGACGTGTCATCTGGAAGCCGTGCCCACCCCATTGCCGGCAATGGCAAAACCGTCCCGATACGTTGCGCGACGTCACATGATGTCGTGAGTTTGACATGTCTGCTATAATGTATTGTTGTAGTATACACAGACTGATTATGTGGCATCAAGTTGTATCAATTCTTAGTAACCACATAGATGAATTTTCTTCATAATGATCTCTTCCTAACCTGCTATTTCAGATTTTCCAACAGTACAACCATTGCCACTATAACTGAGTCCATCCACCATGCTGCTGGCGATTCTCTTCTTCTCTTTTCTCTCCCAGTAGTATTTACTATACTTAGTATACATATAACACACTGTGTAAGATCATAAACAATTCTTCGATTTTTTTAAAGGTACCAGTAGCTCACAATGAAATATTCTAAAAGAAAGCTAATTTTGCAAATAATCCAGGCCAGGAAACCTATCAGAACTATATGTTGTTTATATATGACTAACTTTTCAGTCTAATTGCTGTAGAAAATTCAATTTTAATTCAATTAGTGTTGGGTCAACTCTTTTAGTGAATCTTTGGTTATGTCATCACTCAAACCAGAAACATTCAGGAAAAAATTCATAAACATCTGAACCTATTTTTTTTTAAAGCCCTTAGCTGACTATATAAATTGGGAAATAAAATACAAGATACCATATTATTACTCTATTTCAGTAAAATAAGCCATCAGGAAATCCCAAGGCTGTAAGTTAGACTTTGACGTAGAAAAACATTCCAGAAAAAGCATAAGTAAACTATTTCCATAGTGTTCCCAAGGAAACTACAAGGGCATGTCCTTGAAAATCACCAAAAGCCAGGCTCAAAGTGAAAAAACTTCACCTTTCCA